GACCGGCCCTTGCAGGGACCGGCCCTTGCAGGGACCGGCCCTTGCAGGACCGGCCCTTGCAGGGACCGGCCCTTGCAGGGACCGGCCCTTGCAGGGACCGGCCCTTGCAGGGACCGGCCCTTGCAGGGACCGGCCCTTGCAGGGACCGGCCCTTGCAGGGACCGGCCCTTGCAGGGACCGGCCCTTGCAGGGACCGGCCCTTGCAGGGACCGGCCCTTGCAGGGACATTAAGGCGCTGCGAAGGCAGGAGGTTCAGGAGGAGATAGTCAGATTGCAGGGCTGTTGCTGCTGCATTCCTCACTGCAATGGAGCTGAAGTGCATACAGCTCCCTCCCTTCCCTCCCCTCACCCTGATCATTTCCCCCCTCCTTGCTCCCTCCCTTCCCTCATCCTCACCATTTCCCCCCTGCTCGGGTCATGACCCAACTGTGCAACGCCTTGGGAAGTCCTCCTGACGTGAAAGGCGCTTTATAAATGGAATCTTGTTATTGATGTTGTTGTTGTCACTCAGTGTGGCTGAAGTAATTGACGGTGAAGCCAAGGTGCTGCCTGCGATGGGGGGGGGGTTGGAGGGGAGGCTGACAAACAAACAACAATAAAAACAACAACAAAATTACATTTGTAAAGCGACTTTCACGTCCGGGATCATGTCCCAAAGGGCTGGACGGCCCAGAGATTCAGACCCGAGATTCCCTGCTGGGCCTGTACTGATATGCCTTCTCCACTCTGGGGGCTCTGTTTGGGCCCTTGCCGGGACCGGCCCTTGAATTCCGGTTTGTGAATGTCCAGAAATTGATAACTAATCATTTTCCCCAAATTAACAGCTGATTTGCCCCCACCTCCAGCAACGCCCCCCCCCCCCCACCCTCCCCACCGCCCCTCGCTGGCACACGGCTCCATGATCCTGACTGACCGGGGCTTAATCTGATTAAACTAAAGCCCTAGGGATCCGCACCCCAGCTGGTGGCTGGGGTCAGCAGGGCGGGGAGGGCCAAGGGTAGGAGGGTGACCAAAGAAACGGGTCGAAGAGGAGGGTCTTGAGATGGGTCTTGAAAGAGGTGAGGCAAACTTCACTCCTGCTCCAAGCGTATATCCGAGGGATGACCAGCCTCTCACCATCAGAGGGTTAAATTCAATTTGTGCTAATTAGTCAATCAATGTCACGGAATGACACAGGCTTGACAGCGGGGAGAGTGACTGACACTGAAATCGCCCTGACTGTAAGACTTTCAGACTTGTTTCTGCCCTGCAGCAATTTTTTTTTGGTCAGCCGTGTGTCCTGACGTGTGGTAACCCATCACCACGCTTAAACCAAACTGAGAATTCCGTGCATCCCACCTACGCGTGGAAATCCCAGAGATAGATTGCTGAAATGGAATGCGCTCTTTCTCCCTGGAAGGACACATCCTGCTTACCCAACAGTATTAGGCGCAAATTGGCTAGAGCCGAGGCTTGGGGGCCCCAGAGTGTGCGTTGGGGAAACTGCTGGAGTCTGACCAGCTAAAGCCACGTAGCTTGCCATTGATATCACTGTCTGGCAAGCTTTCCTGCCGCTTGTCCAGCTTGGACCACCCTACCCCGTTAGGGCTTTGGCTTGCAGGATTAACGGGAGCTGAATGGGACAATTTCCTGCACCCAGTGACTGGTCTGCCCTTTCAGAGCCTGCCGATGAACCAGATCCCTGGAGCCAACAGGGCCGATAACAACAACAACAGCAGCAACAACTTATATTTACAAAGTACCCTTCAGTACCCTGTAGCGTCTTGGAGTGCTTAACAGCGATGTGGTGTGAAGCCGAGCTGGAAAGAGAGGGGAGGTAACCGAAGGCACATCGAAGAGAAAAGTCGTCAGGTGTGAATGAAAGATGGGCAAAGAGGAGACAAGACGGAGGGATTGAGGCAGAGAGTTTAAGAGATTAAACAGTCACTACACTTCAAAAGTTCTCCTGTTAGACATCCTGTTAGATGTGCTCCTGATGTATAAGGATATGGTTATTGTTATATTTATTACTTTATTTATTATTTTATTTATTACTGATGATTGGAGGTGTGAAAGGACAGACTGGAAAGTGTTCAGACTGTAAACATTCAGCAAGCTGGAGTCCTGTAGCTCAGTGGTTAGAGCACTCGTTTTGCAAGCGAGAGACCTGAGTTCAATTCCAGGCACAGGGCGAAACCTTGGGCAAGTTTCCTTACTCCAAACAGAGCCTAATAATAATCCCTCCAAAAAAACAAGAACAATAATAAATTGGTCATTTTCAATCTACGACTGATTGGGGGACATTGCTGTGCGCAATTGGCTGCCGCGTTCGCCCACAAATATACAGTCAATTCACTTTACAGTGTGTTCTGTGAAGCGCTTTGGGACATCCTCCCGACGTGAAAAGCGCTATATCAAATGCAAGGATTATTATTATTATTATTATTATGTGGAGTGTCAATAGTCCAAGGTAAATAGAGGAAGAGAACTATAGGCAATTAACAGAGGCTTGCTGAGTAACAGATTCATAATTGTGGGGACAGCAATTGCCTGAATGTAACTGGCAGAAATCCAATGTTGGTCAATAAAACTGATCATTGCTGTTTCCTTCTCTTGTGGTATGGGTGCTTCCTCTCTCTCAGAGGAGAGACACTGAGCTCCTGGCCCATTTCCCCCACATAAACGTGATCACTCATTTCCACAGTCACTACGCTTACAGTGAATAATACTCCTTGCATTTAATATAGCGCCTTTCACGTCAGGAGATGTGCTGGACCTATAAATGCAAGCTGTTGTTGTGTAGGTGAGGTCCCTGCAGATGAATCATAGAATCAATATTACAGCACAGAAGGAGGCCATTCAGCCCATCATGCCTGTGCCAGCTCTTTGGAAGAGCTACCCAATCAGTCCCACTCCCCCGCTCTATCCCCATACGCTTGCAAGTTTTTCCTCTTCAAGTACCTCTCCAATTCCCTTTTGAAAGTTGCGACTGAATCTGTTCGCACCGTCCTTTCAGGCAGTAGATTCCAGACCCTAACAACTCTCTGGGTAAAAAAAAATGTCTCCTCCCTCATCTCCTTCTTTTGCCAATTACCTTGAATTAATTGATTAAATTAATTGGGTGAACATTAAGGCGCTGCGAAGGCAGGAGGTTCAGGAGGAGATAGTCAGATTGCAGGGCTGTTGCTGCTGCATTCCTCACTGCAATGGAGCTGAAGTGCATACAGCTTCCCTCCACTCACCCTGATCATTTCCCCCTTCCTTGCTCCCTCCCTTCCCTCACCCTGACCATTTCCCCCCTGCTCGGGTCATGACCCAACTGTGCAGCGCCTTGGGACGTCCTCCTGACGTGAAAGGCGCTTTATAAATGGAATCTTCTTGTTGTTGTTGTTGTTGTCACTCAGTGTGGCTGAAGTAATTGACGGTGACCCACCGCCGTGCCTTCCTCCCTCCCTGCTCAGCTCCGGCCGAAGCCAAGGTGCAGCCTGCGATGGGGGGGGGGGTTGGAGGGGAGCTGACAAACAAACAACAATAAAAACAACAACAAAATTACATTTGTAAAGCGACTTTCACGTCCGGGATCATGTCCCAAAGGGCTGGACGGTCCAGAGATTCAGACCCGAGATTCCCTGCTGGGCCTGTACTGATATGCCTTCTCCACTCTGGGGGCTCTGTGTGGGCCCTTGCAGGGACCGGCCCTTGCAGGGACCGGCCCTTGCAGGGACCGGCCCTTGCAGGGACCGGCCCTTGCAGGGACCGGCCCTTGCAGGGACCGGCCCTTGCAGGGACCGGCCCTTGCAGGGACCGGCCCTTGCAGGGACCGGCCCTTGCAGGGACCGGCCCTTGCAGGGACCGGCCCTTGCAGGGACCGGCCCTTGCAGGGACCGGCCCTTGCAGGGACCGGCCCTTGCAGGGACCGGCCCTTGCAGGGACCGGCCCTTGCAGGGACCGGCCCTTGCAGGGACCGGCCCTTGCAGGGACCGGCCCTTGCAGGGACCGGCCCTTGCAGGGACCGGCCCTTGCAGGGACCGGCCCTTGCAGGGACCGG